ATTTCCAATGTTTGTCCAGAGATGGAGTTCTGCTGAACTGGGATCAGTTCAAGTCCAAGTGTGTGTTAGAGGGTGAGCTTAAAATGACGAGGAACAGTGGCTTTTCAGTTATATTCTCCAATTATGAGTCATCAATCAAAGTTAGGAATATATTCAATCACAGCAAGAGCCACTGACTTGCGTTGCAGTGAATTACATTTAATTTATCTCAGTGTCAGAAAAGGCAGATGACATTCATCTCGTATTTTCCACTAAAGCTCATTTCTATTATGATCAGCGGTATCACCAAACTGTGACCCTGCAGAGATCAATTCATGGGTTTTCATTACATTCTTTGGAAATATAGAGAATAGTGGATTAGCAGAAGATTGAATCTCCCAGAATTGAAAGAACATTTTATTAAATTCTCACCCATACGCACACAGGGACGAGCACTTCTGCTCTGGCTTTGTGAATGGCGGCTCTGATGTGTAATGAAACAGAAAACACCAGACAATGCTGAATGACGGAGAGTGAAATCCTTTCATAAAGACTTCCTCAGCTGAGAGTTCCTGAACTATAGTATTATTATTCCATCAGGCACACCCTGACATGCAAAGCAGGCTCTTTGGCCTCCACCCTGTACAATACTTAGTGTCCTTCAGCAGGGACTTTTAATGCGTGTTAAGAATAAAACATTTGATCTGCACTGAAAACAGCTCCATATGATCGCAAAAGACCTGAAAAGAACATCCTTACTGAACGTTACGCTCAATAAAGAAATGACCATGCAAAGTGTTTGCAGAGGTGGAAAAAGTGCTTAATTAGAATTAAAAAAGACTATTGTCCTAAAGAGGACATATTATTCTCATCTCCAGGTTCATATTTATATTTTGTGCCTCTACTCTGACTTTAAAATACTCCAATACACGCAAAGGTACTGCATTTAAAATGCAGAAGTACAGAAGTATTTTCAGCCAAATGTACTTAAAGCATCAAAAGTAAAAATAATTGGTATGCAGGATGGCCCTTTGTTGATGTACTATATGATAATAGATTATTATACTGTACAGTATAATCTTGTTTTAATCACTAACACATACATGTAGGAGCATTTTAATGTTTTTTTTTGTCAATGTTTGGCCAATTTCAGATACAATACTGGTTTGATTAGTAGCACAGTAATGCATCATATCATATACTGTAAGTGGAGTAAAAAGTACTGTATTTGCTTTTATAATGTCCTGGAATAGAAGTACAAGGTAGCATAAAATGGAAAACTCAAGTAAAGTACAGTTATGTCAAAATGATGAGTAAATGTACTTAGTTACATTCCACCACTGCATGTTGGTTTCCTGCACTTTTGTCAGTCTACAAAGCTGTTACTGTGTAATAGTGCACCCCTGAGGCGACTTCAGATACTCCAACAGTACTGAACGAATATCTATGAAAGGATTTCACGCAGCGTCTCCATGACCCCAACATTTAAACGTGACATGAGTAAGAGCGAGCGTCTTCCTCCAGCACTATGTGTTTGTTTTCTACCTGCTGTGGACGTGCGGTTAAAGGATCAATGCAACGTTTGGATAGTATAAAACCTTGCATAAGCCTTGCAGTAAGAAACATATTAGTATCTTCACACTATACACATGCAGATCACATATCTTTATACAACAGTGGGAAAAAAGGGTGGTTGATGTTGAGGTGTCAGATTCCTCATTCTGCCCGGTGGATGTGATGGATGTCTCAGTGATATCATAATGAATATTGCTTTAGAATTCATTAAAGACAATTCACTTGACCATCAATTTGTTATTACCTAATCTCCTTATCAGAGCTTATTTGAATCAACCTGATATTTACATCAAACACAAAGTCAGTTTTGGAGCCTTACTGTCTTTGTGTTGTATATAAATCTGAACCATTACCTGCACAAGCAAACGTGCTTCCCTGTAAAACAGCCATACAAAATCAATATCCAATAACAAGTAGGGTGGGCAAATCACTGTACACATTCAGGGTTTATATATTTTCTCTTTGCAGTAAATAAAAATTAAATCAAAACCGCTTTTTCCTGAATAAGAAGGGACCTAGTTAGTCGTTTCTTTTTGCAAATCCATATATTGCATTTACAATAGCTGCTACTTTCTACATTTTTTGTTATAATGTGAACCTTCGTCTTGTTTTAAAGGATCACATGATAAACGTTGTGCTCTTCTCGCTCAGACACCAATCGTGGGTGTCCGCGCGGCTGCTCTTAGAAACCCTATGAGGTCGTACATCTTACAGACTTTCCAGGTTTACATCAATTCAGTTATACAGCATGAGGTAGCCATACTGCAGATATTAACAGAAGGGACGGTGGACCCTGTCCGGATGGATATCAGTGTGTTTGGTGTGTTTCATGGAGTGAAGTAGGTGATGGATGTTTGTATGGACTCTGCTTTGATTCCTTAAAGCAGTAAAAGTGTTTCAAGGGTTCAATGTCAATCTCTGACTGTGGAGGGGGTCTCATGTTTCCTCAGCATTGAAAATCAGTTTCCTGTGAGCTGAATTGGCAGGGAACTAATTAGTCAACATTTGAATCTATGTTGTTCATCTAATTGACTTTATTCATGCTTGAACTTATGCCACTCTCTCATCTTCATCTCTGTCGCACTGCTTGTGTGTGTTTTGAAATCCCCCATCAATATGTTTATTGTTGTAAAGTGTGTAATTAAATGATACGCTGGCTGATGGAGGCAAACACCCTACAACGGCCCAAAACGATTAGGAGAAACGTGCTGCACTCTCAAAAACCATGTTGGTAGAGTTAGTCTGTCTAGTAGTCAAGTGTTTTGTCAGTATAACTGAAATAAGGTTAGCTACGTTAGCTAACTAGCTTACAGCAGATCTGCAATAATATGGGAAGGAACGATGCAATCACATTCTTAAAAAAAGTCAATAAAACAAACATTTGAGTTTTTCTGTGACACTGTGCAAATGTTAAAATCCTAACGTCAACAAACGCTCTGGTCCGATGATTTAGTGTTTCCGTTGTGTTTAGAGATTCCTGCAGCATTTTTCTATTTGCAGCGTTCTGTGTTTGTGCATGTGTTGTCAAGTTGTTGAAGATGTGTATTCATTTGCATGTGTTTTGGCACATTTGCGTTTTTATGTGCATTGTTTTTGAAAGTGCATTTCTCCTAATAAGCGTTTTGGGCCGTTGAAGCCACCGTAAAACAAGCCACTCTTTAGTATTTTGGTGTCACAAGGAGATCATTCAAAGTTTTATAAAAAATAAAAAGAAGGATATTAAAGGATGTGAATAATCAGCTACCTGTGGTAGCTGTACCAACTTTGATCTGTTCTTATTTAAACTCACACAGTTCAGTTTGAACTGGTAATTATTGGGATTTAAAATAGCTTTGACTTTAAAAAATGGTGTAAAGAATAACTGAATATATTTATACTATATTGGTTGTAAACATTTGACCTTATATGCTATTACTGGTACAGTTAATAGCAGGGCTGAATATTGTGTTGTACAACTAATGGCTTTGGATTCACAGAGCACAAGCCGCTTTGAGCTATTATTCTGAACGGTTAATTAAGGTCCTCTGAGGTTACCCTTCTCTTTTTCATTTCCTATTTTCCAGGAGCTGAAAGGGATCATGTTTCCATGCAGAGCACTGAATGTCTCATAATGTAAGTTGCTTTCTAACACACACCCACACACACACCTTCAAAATCGACTCTCTGTTGGGGCTGTAGGCTGCCCGCTATCCGGCCCCTTCATTTTGATAAATAACTGGGCTACAATTATCTGAGATTTGTCCCATGGAAGGCAGTCGAGATGAAAACAGAATGGTTTAAATCATAAAAGTCAAATATCTGTTCTCCTAATAGTACCCTGATCCATCTCTGAGGTCTCTTCTATCGCTGCTGCTCACTCTATGGTGTCCGTGAACTGGTACTTTCTGCAAAGGGACCAAAAATCCAATTATGTTCTCGGGAACCATTCCAAAAGTGTTTCGCAGTGTTTTCCTAATTTTATTTTGCTCTGACAGGGCTCGGGACAACTCCACTTGGTGGGGGGGGGAAGAGTTTCAAGAGTATGCTGTGGCTCTTGTGGGTGTTTCAACGAAACAGCAAATACAGTTGCAAGAAAAAGTATGTGAACACTTTGGAATTACCTGGATTTCTGCATAAGTTGGTCATAAAATGGAGGAAGCCACTGCTGTCCAGAAAAAACATTGCTGCACGTTTGAAGTTTGCAAAAGAGCACCTGGATGTTCCACAGCACTACTGGCAAAATATTCTGTGGACAGATGAAACCAAAGTTGAGTTGTTTGGAAGGAACACACAACGCTATGTGTGGAGAAAAAAAGGCACAGCACAGCAACATCAAAACCTCATCCCAACTGTGAAGTATGGTGGAGGGAGCATCATGGTTTGGGGCTGCTTTGCTGCCTCAGGGCCTGGACAGATTGCCATCATCGACGGAAAAATGAATTCTCAAGTTTATCAAGACATTTTGCTGGAGAACTTAAGGCCATCTGTCCACCAATTGAAGCTCAACAGAAGATGGGTGATGCAACAGGACAACGACCCAAAGCACAGAAGTAAATCAACAACAGAATGGCTTCAACAGAAGAAAATAGGCCTTCTGGAGTGGCCCAGTCAGAGTCCTGACCTCAACCCAATTGAGATGCTGTGGCATGACCTCAAGAGAGCGATTCACACCAGACATCCCAAGAATATTGCTGAACTGAAACAGTTTTGTAAAGAGGAATGGTCCAAAATTCCTCCTGACCGTTGTGCAGGTCTGATATGCAACTATAGGAAACGTTTGGTTGAGGTTATTGCTGCCATGAGGTCAACCAGTTATTAAATCCAAGGGTTCACATACTTTTTCCACCCTGCACTGTGAATGTTTACACATCATGGTGTGTTCAATAAAAACATAATCTGCTTAAGCAGACTGTGTTTGTCTATTGTTGTGACTTAGATGAAGATCAGAACACATTTTATGACCAATTTATGCAGAAATCCAGGTAGTTCCAAAGGGTTCACATACTTTTTCTTGCAACTGTATATGAGAGGAAGAAAAAAGCAATCACCGTCACTCACATAGGAGTGGTGCTATTCAATTTACAGAGCTTGTTTCTGTGCAGGCTTTTCAGGAGAAAAATAAGTTGAGGAGGTTTTTTCTAGTGGATATCTGTGAATGAGTGCTGAGACAAGCACTTGTGTCTGAGAGGCAGAGGCGCTTTCTGAAATTGGCACTATAGAGTCTGTGGATGGATGGAATGCAATCATTGCTGTTTGTCTGATGCCGTGAGAGCAGATACAAGTGTTGTCAGGCAACACACTGAGATTCTCCTCAATACAGGAGAGGCTTTTTGCTGCTGTTGTCAGTCTCCTTGGTCTTAGTGAATCATTTCTTATTCCTCGGAGCGTGCTGACTCCAACTGTCACCTTTTTGACAGGGGGTGAAATCATTTGATCCCTTTAAGGTGTTTCCCAACATTGCTGAGAGGGTTTTAACCCCTTTTTCAAATAGCTTCCTTTTATTGCCCGTTGAAGCTCGCATGCAGTCAGTCTACGCTAACGTCAGCATTTTCCTAACTATGATATCTATTTTAATGTTTAATTTAAATGCATGCATTTTCCATATGCACACATTGTTCTTCTTAGAGAGTGTGGGTTTACTCTTTTGCATCTAACTTTTCATTGCTCAGTGCATTTTCTTTTGGTCTAATATGACATCTGGATCCAAGCAAGAATATTTTGTCTGTGTCGTCAATTGAAATGCAGTGATGAAGGACTCGTGGTGTTTGGATATAATGGACGGAGCCAGATTGTTGTGGCTGTCATTACTGTATGAGGATCATGAACTACAAAACACACCGTAGTGCCTCTCAGGTGCTCTGGGCCGACTCCTCCTTCTGCCCCACCTCTTCGCTCTCAGCCCCTCCCTCCTTCTGGGCTGGATCTGACCCCACGGTGCCCCCGGAGGTTGCTCCCGGCGACGCGGCTCCGTGCAGGCTGCCGTTGGGGGTGGCAGCAGCGAGCGAGCGTGGATTGGAAGCTGGGCTCGCACTCATGGCCGAGTCAGGGGTCCGGCTGGCGCTGAGGTCCCCGTCGGGGGCCAGGGTGGCCTCCGGGCTCTCGGGGGGAACTTCTTCCGTCATGGCTGTGGGGGAGACGGCATTCAGGAGGGGCTTGTTGGAGGCGTAGGTCATGCCGCCATCCGTGTCGCTGTCCAGTGGCAGGCCAGAGGAGGTGAACTCCACCCCGGAGTCGCTCATCTCCAAAAGGTTGTCAGAGGAGAGAGTGTGGTAGCGGCCCGGTTTGGACACCTCCAGACCCTGAAGAGAGTAAGGGAGGAGGAGACACAGGAGAGGAGTGGTTAGAGGAAGGGAGGGTGAGGGTCATGAAAGACACAGGGAATGTGAAATTACCATGGGCAAGGAAAACACAAAGAAGAATAGAGAAGAGAAAAGAGGAGAGAATAATAAAACAACAGGGGGCAGAAAGAGAGAGAAACCAGGACAAAAAGGATTCCCCCACCAGAGGGGAAGAGATGGAGGAAGTGAAGAAGCAGAGGTGGTAAAAATGTAGGTCAGGAAACGCAACGTGAATAATTTATGCACATGTTTCTGGGTCCATATTTATAGATTTACCTTCCACTCCCAGCTACCAACCCTACTTATGTTCCTCCTTACATGACAACATGCACAGCAGCTATGAATTGTTCATGGCACCAGCTCGCTGCCAGGCCTCCTGAACATTACCGTCCCATTACCTTCGCTACCCGGATTCCTATACCACCTAATACTACATTGACATCGGATGTATTCTCTGCGTGAATATATCTAACTGTAAATCTTCATCAGTGCTACTTTGTTTTTATGTTGCCTTTGTTGTTTTATTTTATATTAATTTCCTCTGTGTGTTGCAAGGGTCAGGTCTACAACTGGGCTACACAGTCTGAATCTGCACATTAAACTGTGATGGCAGTATGTACAATGGGAATCTGCAGGAGTCCACTTACTGTAAGTGTGTTGACACCAAAATAATCACTGAGTGTTAAATGCAGCTTATGGATGAGAGCACACACCTCACTCCTTCATTAAACTTGCAGATTGGTATTCAGACACTATGGATAGTCATTTAAAACCTACACACATGTAAAAGGTTGTTGCCCAATTATGGATGTTTTATGTTTAATCAGCAAACCTAAGAAAGCTACTTCAGTTGAATTCTGATCCTTTGAGTCGGATTGCTGCAGAAGCTCTTTTCAAACAGCTCCCTGAGCCATAACCACTTTACTCTTTTCTCTCGCTTTCACATAAGGTCCATTCCATAAACTTTAATCTAATCTGTTTCCCTACTCAGTTTAAAGGTTCATTGCATTTGAATTCCACTTGGCATTGATGTGACTCTATATAGCAGGTAGTTCCAGCCAAGCAATCTTAAACAGAGGATGGTTAATGACCTCTGTTTTTCAGATCTGTTGTTTTATTGATATACAGCCTTGTAGGAAAACTTTCCAACAAGGCGTGTTAGACTCCAGATGAAGACTTTTATTATTGTTGGAATGATTCTTGGACTCTGTATGTTATTAAAATAGTTTTGCAACCTAAATATTCTGCTTGTTTTGCTGACCTATGAGCCTGATTTCCACTTTGTCACCAAACAATCTTATGATGGTTTCATTTTTACAAAATAAAACCTGCTTTTGTCTAAAACTCATGGCTGGCGTTTTAATAAAAAGTAATAAATAACTTAAGACATATATAAGCGGCATGTTGATAATGAATTACAACATAATTCTGTTTGAGGTCAACCTCTTTGCTTTCGTTGTTCTACCACCGACCTTTATGGGGACCTCTGTGCTCTCCGACGGGTTCTCACACACGGACTGCATCAGAGATTCCTCATTGAACCTGGTGTAAGCATCATGGACCACCTGCAGACCCACACACACAAACACACACAGACATAGATACATATGTCAAAATGCAGCCAAAACAACGTTCTGCCCCAGCAGCAAACTAGTCATCATAAAACACAAAGACACTGCTAGAGAGGACTCAAACACACGTCACTGGACACAAAGCCCCATATAGGATATTGAAGAGGAAGTTTGTGTGACATGACTGAGAGACAAGCTGAATTATTTGTCTTGACGTGGCGTCGGGAGGTTGAGAGGAAACAGAGCCAAAGGGGCTGCAATCGCTCAAATGTCGGCCTCACTGAACAGCACCGAGACACCACTAGGGGATAGATAAATGGATAGATGCTTTTGGATTTAAGAGTCGGAGAGGAAAAGGAGGAGAGGAAAGAAAGAGATGGATTTGTTGAAAAAGAAGTCCTAGGATAGATGAAAGCTAATAGAGGCAGTTAAGAGAATGAGGGAAATAGATTAAGCTGTGAAGCATGGTATTTAAAGCGCCCCTTAATGCTCATTTTCAGGTTCATATTTGTATTGTGTGCCTCTACTGTGACATGTCTCCATGCTTTGATGTTCAAAAAGCTCTTTATTTTTCCCATACTGCCTGTGCTGCAGCACCTCTTTTCACCCTTTCACCCTCTGTCTGAAACCAGAGCCCAGTCTGCTCTGATTGGTTAGCTGGCCAGCTCTGTGGTGATTGGTCAACCGCTTGGAGAAGTCCTGCCCCTTATCCCCTTATCACTTACAATGTGTTGGAGCTTTTGCTACTAGAAGTGCAAGTGTGACATAGTGATGGAAGTAAAGAAATGAGTCCAATAGAGACTTGTACAGAGATATCATAATTATCCTATGTTTACTTTCACTATTATTACAGCTGTATTTTTTAAACTGACAATGAGAGAGGGGAAGGGAAAGGGATTCAGGTGCATGAGGTATGATTGATTTTAGTTTAATATCCGACTCTCTTGGGTATTGTCCAGAGAGGCCGCTTACATCCTCTCACGCGTGTTCTGTGTTCTCAGATCTATGAGGAAATCCATAACATGTCAGAGATCAAGGGCAACTGCCGTCATCTCAACCTCCTACTGTCAACACACAAACACAAGTTCACATACACACTGGACCCACAAACACACCCAAAACAAAATCAACACAGTGAGTGAGAGAGATAAAGGGGAGTGTGACCTGCTGATTTTACATGTATTATTCTATTTACTTACCGATTATATTGACTGCTCTTCCAGTGCTTTTACTAGTTACTGAAATAAGTATTTTAAGTATCCTATTTACAGTCAACTGTTATTGGTCGCACTAACAATGAAATAGAATCTTGTTGTAGGTAATTATTGTTTTAATTTAGGTGATAACAGGCAGAGGAAAGATTTTCAAATACAATAGTAACAATCTTGGCATGTTGTAGAAAATTTGATTTGATTCAAATACTCACCATTGGTAGAGTGAGGCAATGACTTGGAAAAGGTCCAAATAATCTTATGTGTCTAAATGAGGGAGTAAAAGGCAGCTAATAGGGAGTGGTGTAAAGCTAATAGCTAAAAACGTTTGCTTATTACAACGTTATAGCTAAACATGCAGCAAGGATGACATTTTATACAGACATTTATGGTTCCAAGAGGAACAATTCTAATACTTTTAGTGATCGCCTGACTTTTCCTGTTGCACCTCTATTCTTCTTTGGAATAAATCCCGAATCCATTTTGAAGGGGCAATTGTTTGGATTTTTTTATATTTTTACAAATAAGACTTTACTAATATCAAATAAGAAACTAAGAATGTGAAGAATAGTGACAAATGTAAGTGATGGTTTTTGGTCAGTAATTACACTTGGGAATAAATGTAAAAACAACACGTCACAGGGGAGTTTTCTCAATGTCACGTTAATTATGTCTTGAAAACTAGAATATGAACAAATAACATCTAATTCACAGAAACTAGACAAACACAGATGGACACAGACCTCACGCCAACACACTTACTGGGCATGTGGTCACACAGTAACAAGTAGAACAACTCCAATGTATATCATGAAGGTTCAATAACTAATCACTACTGCCCAGGCACGTGCACACAGACATCAAAGTGGGCTTGAGCCCCTGCCCTTTTTCTTCCTCCAGAGAAAGTGCCCTTTTTTTGTTTTAAATAAATGAATATATATCTACTGCTGTTTGCGCACAGTTTCCCTTTCCAAAAATATATTGATTGAATACAAAATAAAAAGATCAGGTCGGGAGATTAGACTGTGAAGTTCCGATGCTCTCTCTACCCTCCCTCCCTCCACGTCTCGCGCACAGCGATGCGGACATCGGCAGTCACTTCAGACAGACAGGTAGCAGCACCTCCCACTTTACTGTCCCATGTTATGCCAGCTTTTCTTGGCTTGTTTGAAAGTGAGTGGTGATAAACAAATGACTAAGCTGCCAGTGCCTCGAGTTTACAGCTAATTAGCCAGAAGACAAAAACAAATATAGGCATTGCAGGTGAAAAGGATAAAACAAAAAACAAACAAAAAAACACATCACCTCACAACTTCCCAAGATAGTAACTTACGTCAAGTCAGTATTTTCCCCTGAAATGTTATGTTTAAATGCAGATTAGCTTTAAATCTATAGATGAATTTAGACGTGCAGTAAAACGAACACCATGTGTGTGTGTTTTTTGGAAGTTTTCTTTCCATTAGAGTGAAAGAAAACATGGAAGTAAAATAGACCAAAATAACCAAATGTAAATGAAAAAACGATCTTTTAGCCTGTGATGTCCTTAAACAGTAACTTCATCATCTTGATTGTTGGCTGCTCATTTAATAACTATTAATTTGACTAGTTTGTTGTCTGCATAGTGGATATTAAAGAAGACCATTGTCTCTGTGTTAGCTGATTATTTAGTAGAATTCTGTTGAGTATTAAACAATTGCGTGAGTGTGAGGGTATTAAAATAAATTGGTCAGTAAGTCAGAGATGTGCAACTATATTTAAGTTTTAAAACATTTTTTTATAAATTATTATTAAGTGCCCTTTTTCTCACTTGGTCACCCGCCCCCCAAAATGTCTGTGCACGTCCCTGCTACTGCCCTAACACATACACAGCACGCAAAACCAGCACGGTTACCCACACATACAGTACACAGCATATTCACCTTGTTAATCAACCCATACAATAAAACAACACTCAAGATACATAATGTGCATGTGTGTGTGTGTGGTAGCTGTATCACCACACACTGTATGTGAAGCTGCATGTTGGCACTTATCATAACTAGATTGTTTATGAGTAACTGCAGGTCTGCATCTGAGCCGTAAACCAGCGGAAATAAAAAGACAGAGAGAGAGAAACAAAGGAAGGACAGCGAGAGGCAAAGCAGAGGCGTGGCGGGCACACATGATATCAGTGTGATGTCATCTCAAATCATTGCTCAGCTGCAGTTACACACACCAATGTAGAGGAGAGCTTAGACATCTTAATTAGTCACTCAGGACCTATACTTAGGTTTAAAACCTTATTTTCTTAAAGCAAGTGAACAACTCTACTTTCCACTTGCTTGTTTCATAAACTGTCTTTGAGCAAGGCAGAGTGTCACTCTTTTTAAGAAACGTAAGATTTTGATAGTTAAATATTAGATTGAATTACTTGTTAAAATGGACATTTTTGCAGTTTGCACCCCGACCTGGTTCAGAGCCGTATCTAAAATCCCTGCAGGTAATTCACACTCATGACTGAGCTTGTCAAACTAACAGACATTAGGCACTGATAATTTGCCTCCCATGCTGTTGACCATACTCGTGTTTTTGCATCAACTACAACAAAAACAACAACACTGTGTAACATCACTTTTTAATGATTTCACAGGCTCCTGGCAGCTGTTAGTTCCTAGTCCTTATGTACTTATATTTGTAGGTAAGGTATACTTGGACAAAGCTCAGTCATTTGAATGTCGAAAACTCTTTAAAGATCCCAGACACGGATTGTCCCAGATTGTGGTTCCCCACTTAAGGTAATTCATTGACTTTTTCTCAAAGTAGGTCTTCGATCAACTTCCGCCTATTCATTTAGATGGATATCAGATTCTCCTCGGTGTTCAGGGTTTATTTAGTGTGTTGGTGGGCCATTTCTTTGATGGATTTGTATCATCTTAAAACCACACGATTTACCTAATACTGAACAAACATTTCTTAAACTGTCAAAAGTTGATCAAGGAACTATTTTGTCAAAAAAAAGGAGAGTACAATTTCTCTAGACACCAAAGGAAAGGCAGTAAAAAAGGAGGCGAGAACACAATTGTCTCACCAAGAAGAGGCTCCGTTTGAGGCTCCTTAAAGTAAGAGGGAGAAACGTAACGCACAGGCAACAGCGTTAGCTGGGCCACGGACCACAGGCATCCAGCTGGGAGCAGGAAGTCTGCACAGCTTTATTTTCAATTGACTCAAGCTGAACCAAGAGGCACATCAGAAACTTATCACATTATATTATTTAAAACAAAAACAAACGTACATAAATACAAACACATGACCCTGAATGATGTAAATAGTTGAATTAAAGTTACATTTAAAAATGTGAAGCAACCTTAAAAAGACAGAATAAGGAATATTGCATCTTAACAGCCTCACAAGACTGTCAGCCAATACCTGCCTGCATATCTCTATAGGTATATAGGCGAAATCTGAATCTATGGAAACAATACAAATCCACTGCAACATGCATACAATTATACGGGGGGGAAAAGAGAACAGAGAAACATAAGTAACATTAATGTGTCATCACACACAAATACTCACTTTTTCAAAGGCTGTAAATAACTGGTGCACCTGCCCGTTGTTTTATTTGTTCAATTTCTCTCAAATTCTGGCCTCTGTTGTTCAAGTCAAAAGTCTCAGTCCTGATTTCTTCAAACCACATCTACATTTCTCTAAGTTGGAATCACATGTTTTAGAGTATTATATGACCTGACATCACCATTTCCATCACAGAGAGGCAATTAAAAATTAATTATCTTCCACTTAAAGTTAGCTACTGTGTGTTGCAACGGTACATGATGTTTATCTCAGACCAGTTTCCACTCTAGCTCCGTGGTTTGGATCAATTATTATATTATTACCAGAACTTTTAAAACCGCACTCAGACCATTTCTATTATTCTTTTTATTATCATTCAATTTCCGGATTATCTATGAAGTCATGATCACTTAATTTGATATCAAAGACAGTCAATTGATCCAAGAAAGCCTTTATTCTGACTCCAGTGAGTTTTAATTGAACCACAATTACTATCGGTCTCTCAGAATATTAACTGTGGATGCTGGAGAGAGAGGGGATATCTGTCAGGTTTTTTAAAGATCAAATAATGAAATGTATCATTCATTTTGGAAAACAGTACTCTGATTATAAGACATCTAAAATAACCTTTGATAAATCAGTCCCATCGATTTGTAATTATATGAAAATGATCATTGGTGATAAGATAAGACAGGCAGAGTTTGAAAAGCAACACTTGAGGTATACAGGGAGTTTTTTTTAAACACTCATGTAATAAATCTGGACGTATCGCTGTTAACAATGGAGCCTGTATTGAACTAAACATTATATTGCGTCCCTCTGTGGAACAATCAATATCTGAATCTGATGTTTTACAGCCGAGTCATCAGTGTGTAATGGGCTTTTAATTGATCTATAGATTCAGTTGGTTAACAAACCCCAACTGTGGACGCTAAAAGGAGGGCCGTAGTGTCAGAAAGGTTAACTGTTAACTCCTCTTCATCATCCCATCGGTCAGTCCAGCCAGTATTGAGCAGGTGATAACAGGCAGAGCAAAGATTTTCAAATACAAATATATAGAAAACAATAGAAAACAAGAAGTGCATTTTAGTTGTTTGTTGTGTACTTATGCTCAAGCATTGATAGTAGTCAAATGTAATTCCTAATTGAAGATTTGTGAAACATACATTCAAATTAAAACAACTGACTCTCAAAAGCCTTTCTGTAGCGATTCAACCATTTAAAAATAAACCCAATCTAAAAACTGATTAATAGTTCAAAATTAAAATGAGTAATAAAGTAGTTCAAAAGGGATTTTATTATGTGACACGGGGTGCTTGTTATTGTAGGAACATTCAGTCATTTACATGACAAAACTACTACCCAGGAATTCCCTGTGCAAAGGAACCATTTACAAATGTTGATACAATATAATATTTGTGCCAACATCTTGTCACTACAACTGACACTAGAGACTGTAACTTGGACCTGTTCTTCATTAAAAATGAAAATGTGAGCTGTGTCAAAATGTGTGAAAGTGGATTGCCACAGCTCAAAGGTTCCACATTTGAATGCAGTATGTTTCAGGCTTAAGTCTCCATCTCATAGTAAATTAGTAAGCAATAACTGGCAGAGCTGTAGTCGTTTACTTTAACACCACATACATTAATCCCTTCTGTTCCTTGAACGTATATGTTTTACTGTAAGAGTAAAAGAAGAAAAAAGAGACACAGGGAGCTGAACGAGAAATACTAAAGCTGCGGTTGAATAGTCAAGAAATGACGTTTCCTGATCAATTTTCTCGATCTCTCCTCTGTGGAAAAGAGCTACAATGCTAAGGAAAATCTGTTTCCAATTAACTAGACCAAAGATATATATATCTTTTAAGTTCATATATTTATAACAAACAGAACTTGAGTCCACACCTTGACATTTTCCATAATTTGTACATTAAACAACAAGGACAGATGTTTCTTACAGACACATGCTGGGTCAATATAATTGTTGCTGCTGTAATCAATTGTGATCCAGTTTGCCTTAACTAAATATAATAAGCAATCAACCCACTCAACCACTTTGCAATTAGGGGATTCAACCAACTTTGATCCTAGCTGCAGCTTAGATCCCTTCTGGTTTATCCCTGTTAGGAATCTTCCTAAGCTAAAAAGACAATTTGATTGCAACCTATATTTCTTGTGAGTTTCCCGCTGCATTGTGGTTGTCTTTAATTGGACTGTACCATATGATCTTAGTAGGGGAGGATTGTACCAGCTGGCCAACCTATCTCCAACAACAGGAACATCCTGTTCTACCTTTCAATCCTTTTGCAGCAGACAAACAGACCTTACTTTCACCACGTGCCACATGTTCATTTAGCCTAAAGATCCACTGTTCCACCAGGGCCTTTTCTTATTTATATCTCAGTGACTCTACAACACTCCTCCATCCATAAGACATGAAGACGGTAATACAATAGGTGGATGTTACCTGTCTGAAAGCCTCTCCTTCGTTATGTCCGGCCTGCTGAGCGAGCAGAATCACCCTCTTGTCCTTCTCATTCCTCATGTGCACTCTGTAGACACAGGACAGCAGGCAGAGCAGCAGCATGAAGGCGATCACACCCATCAGGGCCAGGATGGCTACAGTCAGAGGAGGCAGCTTATTGGCTGGGGGGGAGAAACCACAAACACAGAGAAAAATAATCAGCCTACTGTGACCTCATGCATAAATGCTGCTTCAAACTGTGTAGTAAAGCTACTCATCTGTCATCTGTTTCTTGTTGTTTTGCTATTATGACAGCTTCATTATTTACATTTATGACTAGCCTAATACTGAGTTTAGCTGTAAAGTATCAAATGGCACTCTATATAAAAGAGGCAATCGAATAAAGCAATGGACTGGGGGTGTGGATTTCTTCTGTTACTTTGATTTCGATCCTGTCAATGGTCCAACAGTGTTATGAGTGCAAAGCTCAATCGATGGAGTATCGTTTTAAGAGATGATCTGTGTTCACTGACACTTGTGATCTCAATGGTTTCAAAATAGCTCCGAGTTCACAGCTATGCAGGATGTGCCAGCCTGCTTGTATACTTATTCAAGATGCATTACTTTGACTGCCACTACACTATTCCTACTGTATGAAAGTCTTTCAATCAACACAATCTATTAGAAGCTTTTTAAAAATGTTATATAAGATATCAGTTCATCTTTCTTCAGTATATAAACCGATGCAGGTTAGTTGTATGCGTATTGCGTAGCCTAGCAGATGTTGGATGGTTGCTAGGCTAGGTTAAGGCAGAGAACACATTGAACATAGAGCATGTTAGTTCATACAAATAGTGTAGAAAAATATCTAACTTCGATATAACCCTATATAACTAAGTCATTTCTGATACCGAGCTCCGATGCTGAAAAGGCATCGGAAAACGGCTGTCCTTATTCCTCCGACCTAGGTTTACAACGTTCCCGCTAAAATCTACACGCAAGACCACCTGCTTAGGGAGGCAACTCACAGCGTGGCCTCAAACACTATTGTTTGCTGTTGTATCACTTTTTTCAGGCACTAACACGTTGCATGTCCGACGGCCAGGATATCAACGGAACGTGTAGTGTAAGTGTTGGTGGGCTGGTAGAACCCCAGAGCAGTATCAAACTGCCCCTGGAGGAGAAACCCTGTGTCGGTTGGGACACTCCCCGGTTTAGAGCAGCTTCAGGACCCTCATTCCTTAACCCCCCTTTTTGAATCTTAATGATGTCAATTTCAATAATCTAACAAACTGAGCATAAGCCAAAGTCAAATATCACAGCTGTGATCTTACAATGCCAGCAAAGCACACATCATATTTCAGCATCAATCAAAACCAAATCAACCACAGTTACCAATATGAAACTATAGCTTATCTTTCGCATGGTTTCTACTTTCCACATTTGAATTCCAACATTTGGAATTTAAATGATCAACTTCTGTCAGCCTTTTCCAAGGAAGGGTGTTCAGTTCTTACCTTACCAAGCAGAAACCTTCAGAGACTACCAGAGACCACAAATTGGGTCAAGATGTAAAAAGTACAAACCGGTTGTATTGGTTGTTCACAAAAATAGAGGATTACAAGATCCAAAAAATAAAATACAAATACAAAAAGTTTAAGTCAGGTACAGAGTCGAAAGCTTAAACTTCTTTTAACTCAATTGAAAATATGAAAACTAAATTCTTAAATGTTTAATTGTTCTTTTGAGGTAATCTTTTCAGGTTGTAACCGTCCTACTCAAAATCACAAGGCCTTCTTCCCTAGAATTGGTGAAGAAACCTACGCTTACTCAAGCTGAGGAGTCAAAAATGAGATTAGTTCAAAAGTTCAGTATGCATCAACTCTGGTTTCGGATGTCTGGTAAGAGATTTCTGAGAAATACTTACTTTCCATCAAACCAAACTAATGCCTATAAATTTATTAGCAATGGTACATGTCATAGAGATAGGATCGGTAGGTGAGGTCTGTCACGGACACTTAAACAGCAGATCTGTCAACAGTGTTTTCTCCGTCTTACCTTCAACATCTATGTGGACATGAGCCACAGTAAAGCCCGTCAGATCTGTCACAATGAAGACCCCCGTGTCTGTGAAGGTGGCCTTCTTCAGGATGAGCTCCGACCCCTCCACACTCAGCCTGCCCTCCAGCTCAGGGCCCAGCGGCGTCACCATGACCCCCTCCTCCAGGATGGGCCGGTCCTGATGGTCGGATCTGGACCTGTAGACAATGTTAGCGTTGGAGTGGTGCAGGTAGAGTTTTATCTTCCGGTTTTCTCCGTGGGTGAGGTGGAGAAAGTCCCGGTGCTCTGTGTGAAGAAATATAACGTTTATAATAGCTGACTTAGCAATTTGCAGATGCTAATGTGGACTAATTTGTAGACGTTTCTGTTGATGGAAGCCAGTTCATCATGTTCGAGTGAAAAGTTAATAGCTAAAGATGCTAGCTATTCACCGTTAGCGCTGATAGCATAAACATTTAAAAGTAAACTGATTTTATTGAACTGCCCCCTGCTGGTCTGATAATGTGGAAAGTCAATGATACACATTTTAATAGCTTCCGGAAATGTTTAATTCATTCTATATGTATAATTTCGACCATATGTACCAGACTGAACTTTAGCTCAAACCACATGTACAACAGAATATCCTCAAAGAACAATAAGTATGGCTGTGGATAGCCTTGTTAAAAAGGGACAGTGTGACCTAAAATCAAAGATTCAAATGTTTGTTTTGGTTGCTCAAAGCGCCATAAAGCACTTCAGCAATATCTCTTTCCAGAACTTCATCCTCCACAGAAAATGTATGGAGCCTCATGAACAGTTTACTGTAGGAACCAAACTACATTTAGGTCATGATTTCTGAAAAAGAGACATTTTGTTGGCCTTTATAGCACTACAAGCAAATAATCATTATGTTCATTTAAATTGGAGAGAAGTTAGATATATCTACGGTTTATATCTCCTACATGTTTCAACTAACACCAAAGCAATCAAGATAGCAAAATAAGCAAATGTATCTCAGTTATAATATTTCATTTCCCTATTGCAACAACTATAAAAACATGCAGATGTGATTAATATATCCGATAATTAAAACTGAGAGGATGCAGCAGAGCATAAATCTCTCCTCACCTCTCACATTCAGACAGTTTCTCCTTCTCACTTTGCCCTCACGGTCCAACACTGTGAAGCTCCCCTCGTCCGTAGCCTTGACCGAGTGCAGTGTCACCTTTTTCTCCGACACACTGAGGCGCCCCACGTATTCCTCGGCCAGCACCTCCGTCTGGTTGTACAGCACCAGGGGGGGGGGCTCTGTAGTGTGATGTATCTCCGTCTGATTGGGCGGAGTCAGAGCGGGCCTGAGGTTCGGAGAGAAAGGAAGTGAATGAGTGTTAAACCACCACATGAGAAATCAGGGTAAATCCTGTTTCGGCCCAATCAGTGATGTCACAGCAGGTGTTTTAATGCTAATTGCTGATTGGCCAGTGGTAAACATTCAACAAAGCAGCAGGATATCTCTCCTGTTTATTAGCCATACACAGATCAAAATGTCCCCAACATTTGCCCACCAAAGTTGTTTTTAACCTTTTGCCACATTTCAGCCTTCATCAGAAAAGAAGAGTTTTTGTCATGCTAATTTGGTACAAGAAGAAGAGTGTGGTCTATACTTGAAAACAGGCCAAGATCTTGAGACATTTGTTATAGACTGTTCTGCCTCCTACACATAAGCCCCGCCCCCTTCATAGCCTGTTTGTTGTAGACTCTTGTGATGGTTGCAGCTATTGGAGTTTATGTGACAGTTACTATACAGATCAACAACGTTACAATACTATACAATCGATGCAGTATATATAGTGCTGGCTGCTAAATGTGGATAAATAATCTGCAATAAGCATGACTCCATTCATGCATTCTTGTTTTTCTTATTATGCTTTCACTGACCGTACCTGAACTCCAGAGTGATGGGGCCTTCCACTTGGTTGAGATAGATTTGGTAAGTTTCTCCATACTTCACCACCTGCTCCAAAGCGCAGTCTGATCAACAAGACCACAGGAAATAAAGGTCAAAGCAGGAACGTTTGTGAAAGGCAGATCGCCTATGTTGTTGAGCTGAGTGCGAAAGGTATAACGTTTTTATGGTTGCTTGGTTACTTAATTTGAACAATCTTCTGGGGTTTACAGAATCTAATCTTTGCCAATTTGAGTAACACTTTAAAATAACCATCATTTGTAAATGGCAATTTAATTAAAATTGTTATTACATGTAAGCTAAATGTTATTTCCCTATTAAAAAACAATGAAATGTTAATTATTAGTGTTCATTTAGTATCAGTATTTGTATTTTATATTTTTTGAATGGACCATAAACCAATTATTAACCATTAAAGAAAAACAAAAAAGTGCTACAGTGAGATAGCACACAGCTTACTCTTTTTATGATCATATAATACATTATTATATGATCATTAGGTCTATAAAATATATGTACATATAGAACTACACATTTGTGTAGTCCTATATATTCCAATAATGCTGTTGATAAAGATTGAAGCTAGTTTAGCATGTGCCTTAGGGCCACGATCTGGCATATGTGACTGTTTGGCACCATCCTTCCATAGTTCTCTATATGTTTCTTTCTTTCTAGATAATGTTGTACATAACAGATAAGACACCAAAGACTAATAAAGTTGTTTTCACCAATCAAAAGTGATTTTTTAAAAGATGAACTTCTATTCCAAAAGACTTTAAACAGCCAACCTCAAGCTGGTAAACACACTCTAGCGCTGCCTCTGGATAGGAGTGCACAGAGAGCTCACCCCTGACGTTGATGATGAGTTGCTTGGCGGTGTTGGGGCTGTTCGTGTTCTTGATGACGTACACCCCTTCGTCCTCCTCCAGCATGTCCTCCAGCACCAGGTGGCCCGGGGAGCTGAGGCGGGCCCTGGGATTCACCACCTTGCCCGCCTGCAGCAGAACCACCTCAGCGGAGCCGTTGGTCCTGGGTTTGAACACGACCTCACCAAGGTTCCCAGACGGGACGTTGATGTGAATCTCCTCCCCAAAGAAGGCTGTCCGTTGTTCCTCTTTAACTGGTGGAAATGTTTAATTAGATATGATTCTTATTTAGGCCCTTTCCTCATGCATATAATCTGTTCATTCTCAAAAAGCATTTTTAAGTAGGGCTGCTCAATTAATCTTATTTTAATCGCAATTACGATTTTGGCTTGTAACGATTATGAAAACAACATAATCGAAATAAAACGATTTTTTTTGTTTTATTTTTTTGTTTTTTATTGTTTTTTCAGTTGAATTATACTTAAAGTGGACCTATCATGCTATATTTGAATAATATAGTGTTGGACCATACCTATATAAGGCATATTTTTACTTTTTATTATTCAAAATACCAAACAGATCATGCATTGTAGCCATTCCTCATTTCGCTCAATTTAACACTGTCTTTGCATGGGCTGATTCTGTGAGAACAGCACCATCTACAGGCCTGGCATATGTACTACAGCGTCTCCAGCGCTTTCGAACGGCAATGTCCGTGGCTGTCTCCTCCTGATTGGTGGAGTTGGCCCAATAGCCCTAGCGCCACTTCTGTGACGTCACAGAAGTGTTCAACTCTGGAAGATTCAGAGGAATCAACTGTTAAAAACATAATAATAATCTTGATATCAATTATTGACCCAAATAATCGAGATTATGATTTTTGCCATAATCGAGCAGCCCTATTTGTAAGCATGCATTATAGATTGGGATGGGCAATATGCAGAAAATCTAATATCACAAATGTTTTGACCAAATACGTCCATCCAGAGATACTGCAACAGTATTGCAGGGTGGATAAGTGGTGCTTTTACAAAAATATTTACTCACTGAGATTGATAAATAACTATCAGTAGCCTCAGCCTGATTATGGATATAATTAAGGTAAATAAAAGAAGAGCTAGAACAGTCTGAAACCTTTTAGAAAAGTACATAACTTTACTTTAAAACCAGAAAGAGGTAACATTTTTGCCATATTGTCATATCACAAATCTAAGACAATATCTAGTCTGAGATCTCAATATCGATATAACATTGATGTGTTTCCAGGCTCTACAAAAAGAAGCATGCAACTTTACCTTTCAAAGAGGCCACAGCTGCAAAAAGACAAGAGAGTGTGTTCGTTTTAAAATATATTGTTTCTTTTGTTGTCTTTTATTGTAAAATCTCTTAACATAAGTCAGATTTTCTTTGTTCTTAGTAGAAAAACCACTTCCTGAAAAAATAAGAAAGTATTGAAAAGGAAAGTGCACCAAATAATAATAAATAGATCACAAAATAAATTCCTTGGTGGGGTTTTCATACAGTATGAGCTTATTATTCAGTTAATCAGAGTCAGCTTTGCAGGAAGTCTGCTTCAGCCGTTTATCTGAGCCCACTCCCAAGTGAATGATTTAGTTTGTGCTTACCCGTGCAGATCAGGGCGCTCAACACTGCAGCGCTGAGTACCTTCATCTTTAATGGTCAGTGTCTGGAAAATAGAAACACATAAAACACACCAAATTTAAAAAACTTAAATTTAAATAAAGCATTTTATAGCAGGATTATGTCCAATTACAAATTAGTAAAAAAAAGAACCTGCTAATTACCTCATTGTTATTTGCCATACGATCAGGTTAACTTACTAAATGTAATGGGTAGCCTATTTGGGTGTTTGATTCAAAAGACCTCTGCAGAGTAGAAGCATACCCATTTCAATCTGTGTCCCCAAGTTGAAGTCCCACCCTGCATCACTCTGCTGCACTAAATAGCTTTCGACAAATTGGCTCAAAGGGAGAGCACTGCCAATACATGTTGAAAAGAAAATCTATAGTGTTGCTGTAAGGTAGAATATAAGCCAATTGTTATAGATAAAGCATCTTAAAAGCAGAGTGTGTGTTTCAAAGACATGGAGCTGTGTGGTGAGCTCAAGAGCAGCTATCATGACGAAGACCACAAACCGGAGAAATACACGATCAAGGAAGAGGAGCAATAAAGAAAGGAAGGAAGAGAAGAGAAATGGTGAAAGGGAGAGAGGGAGAGAGGGATAGAGTAGGTCCCATTGGGACGCTGAGATGGACAGCAGCCAGCTGGCCTGAGGGGCCTCTAACCTGTCAGTACTGCTGCACTGGATTACACTGAGCAGTAGCACGCAGTTATTAAGGTGGGATAATTAGACGCAGAGACCGAGGGAAACAGCTGGAGAGACTGGAATTTAAAACTGCATTACTAACAATTCTTCTTCAAAGGGGCCCTATTATGCTCATTTTCAGGTTCATATTAGTATTTTGTGTCTACTGTGACATGTTTAAATGCTTTAATGTTCAAAAAGCTCTTTATTTTTCTCACACTGCCTGATGTGCTGCGGCACCTCTTTTCACCCTCTGTCTGAAACCAGAGCCCAGCCTGCTCTGATTCGCTGTCTGGCCGGCTCTGTTGTGGTTGGTCAAGTGCTCAGAGATGTCCCGCCCATTAGTATCATATACAATGTGTGGGAGCACTCGCCAATAGAGACGAGACAAAGTGTTATGGAGTGATGTCACAGAGGTAAACAAAGGAGTCCAATGGAGGGGGAGTGTGTGAAAGAGAAACTCCCACAGGGATGTTAGCCTTTGCAGACCATTTACATGCACCAAGATCTATATGACACACTACAGGAAAGAGACAACCCCAAAAATCACAATAGATTCTCTTTGAACCCTCTGATCAACACCAACCCTGGTTGTGAAAGAGTGGGAAACTACAGAAAAGTGACTATCTGACTCAAGAAAGATATTCAAATGCAAATGTGCTGTATTCTTTCTGATACTATTTGCTTCTTTTTTCTTCTTCGCTCTATTTTTATGTGTATCCCCTCATGTTTTTGAAAGTAAAAATCTTCAATGAATTTCACTCGTCACTATTCCCAAAGTAAACCACAGTGGAGGAATATAACGTGGACGTTTTTTTGCCAAGAAAACACAGGTAACAACTTATGAGTGTAACAGATTTACATTTAACAGGATGTTTTCAGCAACTATAAGTGTATCTTTTTTTACCTGTAGAATGATACTTTTCAAGCTCCTCTGCAGGCATTTCTCCAACGTATTCTCTTGCAAATGATATATATATTTACTGTATACCTCTGTATGTGTGGTCCAAGACACCCACTCAATATGTCTAAATCAGACTGCTGAAGTATCATATTGGCTCAAGTATTTTAGCAGAAGGACGGGACATACTTTTTTTACAGGAAGTTAGAAGGGAGTCATTTCAGGGGCAGTACTTGGAGGAAGTTGATTAAACAACGTATAGCTATTCTGATGTACATGAGGTCATGTGAGTATTAGAGTATTATAGGCTGGCATAAAAGATCTGACAGTGTGGGATTGTGACATGATGCTGTACTCAAATAAAGTCAGTTTCCTCTCAACACTGAAAAGACTGTTTGTGTACAGTACAACTTTATGTATATGGAAGGTCTATTGATTGTATGTTTTACTAAAATGAGATAAGCCCCAGCCTCATTATGTCCTGTACTGAAGTTTCCAGTATGCAGTGTTAGGGAACAAAGTGAATAACCGCATTTTTTCACTCAGAACAATAAAAAGCCATTGAATCTCAGCCAGTTTCTTCATATGAAGGATAAGAGTGCTATTTTTAAAAAAAAGCCAATCTCACCGTGCACATCAACAGACGAAAATGCACTGCCAAATGACGCCCTAGCATTGAAGTGGGCAGAAAAAGAGCTCAAGAGGCTTTCAGTCCCTGAGCAGAACACAGTAATCATAGCATATGTTCTAATCAGTGGCCTGTAAAGCTGGTTTGAATCATCATCTACAGAGCCATTAGCTCATTGTATGTGTGAGTGCTTGAGCCTTAGTGCTGCAAAGACGTAAATTACAGGTTTGATTTATAGATGAAGACAACTGAACATCTGAAGAAGTGCGTCGAAGTTAATAGTGTACAATCAGAGTTTGACAAAAATGTTTTCGCCTGAGTGCAAAAAGTGTATTCCTTATGCATTAAAATAATATGACTTGAAGAGGCCCTATTGTGCTTTTTGTGCTTTTCCCTTTCCTGCTGTGTGTTATACAGATGTGTGTGCATGTAAATGGCCTTCTTGAAACAGAAACTAGTGAAAACTGTCGCTTCTGTTGCTAGCACTCCAACACATTGTGTGTCATAGGCTAAGGAGCGGGACATCTCGAAGCAGTTGACCAATCACAACAGAGCCGGCCAGCTAACAAATCAGAGACAGCTGGGCTCTGGTTTCAGACAGAGGGTGAAAAGAGGTGCTGCAGCACAGAATAGGCAACACATACAAATATGAACCTGAACATTAGCATGATAGGACCCCTTTGCACACAAGTAGAGGCCTAATCATGTTAAACGGTTCCTCCTTAAAACCCAAAGAGGCTAACCTGAACAAACAAAGGGGCGTGGCAGGGCTAGAATTATGTATATGTGTCTATAAGTGTATTTATGTGGCTGCTTGAAGGTGAATGGGTTGAAAATATGTGTTATCTACAAAACCACTACAAGACATTGTTTAACAGTTTAAATCATTTGAAGGGATGATGGTGAACTCGACTCTTTATTTTGAATTAATTAACTCTTGGCTGCCTCATGAAGGAGGGTTAGGGCTAGCTTGTTGACCATGGGGTATCCTGAATACAAATAAACTCAGCAGCCTGAGCTAACAATGTAACCTCTGTCCTTTGCCTGAGGGTATGATGTCCATTTCAAACATCTGACTCCAAATGGGTCACTGCTCTCCTGATTCGTGTTATGAGCGTTAGATCAATGGAACTGCTGGACGCTCGGCCTTTACTGGACTGCGTGTGGGACACATCCAGCAGCCTCTCTGTGGTGAGAGGCATGGAGGTTACATCTTTCAGGATGATCTCATCAGCCTCACATCCATCGTGACTGACAGACTGAAGAGCTTTTTCCCCCTCATCTCTCCTCTCCCACACGAGCATCATGCCTCTATACAGTCTCTCTCATCCTTCTGCTTCTCTCTGTTTCTCCTCTGAAACACTTGTGCTGCCTTCTCTTCCTTTTGTTTGCTGTCCCTCTCTCCTCAAACATCTTTCCATTTGTTTCCTCTAAGTCTGATAAAGTTGTTTGCTGATGTGCTGCCTGTCACGATTCTCATGTTATGTCACGTTTATAGTTTTGTAGGTTTGGGTGTTTTTGCTGTTTTCCATGTCATGTTTTCCTTTGGGTTATTGTCTGGTCCTTTTCCCTGTGTTTTCCTCTCGTCATTAGTTTCCCTGGTGTGTCTAATTGTCTGATTATGTTCACCTGGGCCCCTGTGTTTTCTCCTCCCTCCTCACCTGTGTCTTGTTGTGTGATTGAGTCTTGTGTGTATTTAAGTTCTGGGTTGTCTGTCTGTCTTGGTCGGTTCGTCTTGTTCCATGACTAGTTCTGCGGTGAGTGTTCTGTTTGTCATTGTACATATATATCATAGCCTTGAAATAAAGGAAGTTTCAGTTTATATCTGCATTTGGGTCCTGCTTGTTTCACAAACCGTGACAGCTGGTAAAGAAACGGAAAGTCTGGCGGCTAAAGAGAAAGATGTTGTCTCAGGAGGTGGAGGAGACCAAAGCAGAGCGAAAAGGAAAGAATATTGGGTCTGATGTCAGACTGACAAAAAGACAAATGGGATAAGATAAGAGGACTCAAACAGGACTTACAATAATAATAAAACTGTTCACTAACAGTGCAATAAAAAGAGCAATTCAATATCTACAGGAAACATAGACGGTCACACAATTCATGTAAATATGAACAGTTTTTAGTAGTGAGAAAACCGTAGTGGTAGTTACGTAATCGCACGTTATTTATCAGGATGCTCATGATGCACTTTGTCTAATATATGGTCATAAATCCTTNCTTAAGGTCTTTAAAAATGTTTCCCTTAAAGAGCATCTTGCAGGTTTTTACTTTTTTAATTGTAATTTTCAAGCAAGTTTAAGCATAAATGTAGAAAAAATAAAAACCTGCAAGATGCTCTTTAAGGGAAACATTTTTAAAGACCTTAAGACCAGCCAAAGTCCAACTGACTCCCACACACACTGACACACCCCTCCTCTACAGTCATTGTGGAAGAGAAAGTTACACACCCGCTTACAAGAAACATGAATCCCATTACGGGGAAACGCATTCACACAAATACACCAAACACACACACACACACACACACACAAATACACCAAACACACACACACACACACAAATACACCAAACACACACACACACACACAAATACACCAAACACACAAACACACACACACACACACACACAAATACACCAAACACACACCAATACACCACACACACTTGATTTTTTAGTATTTGTGTTTCAAAGATACAGATTCACTGACAGGGGTAATAAAGTTGCATATTAGACGCTTTACATTAATACAGATACTAAATAATGTAAACATGTGAAACACTATCACACACATTTTGCGATGTGAGGGAGGCCAACACACAAATGCTAAACCCCACACACAAGCTGTTTTTCTGAATTCCTAACACATTCAGCCTGACAGCAGCGGAGCCCCACAGAGCGGCACATCACAGGTATGAGCTGCCCTAACACAGCTGTGCACATGCAGACCAGGCTAGCCTCAGAATGATGCACACAAACACACATTATGGGCTACATGCATCTCTGAAACCTCAAGTTAAACACTTCTTCAATCATGTCTCTCACCAGGACTTTTAATGATCTAAATCTGCTGCAGCCTGTTGAGAAGCATCTAATCCTTCCTTGTTACAGACCAATCAACTCAATTGGAGCTTGATAATGATGAATTAATTCAAATAATGTTCCAGATTCTTGACCCAGATCTTACAGTATGTTCTATATGAATGATACAAACCTACATTAGTGTATCAGAGAGGTGTTGGGCCACAACAAGCCTACAGAGCAGCTTCTGCTAAAACAGCTGTCCTCATTAATGGCGCATTTCCACTACACGGCCTCGCTCGGTATGGCTAGGCCTCGTTAGGACTGGCTCACTTTATGGTGCATTTCCATTACAGTTTAGCAACTGGGGTAGTATCTATAGTAACGCAGTGTAGGCGGAGCCGTGACGTAATCTTCAATGAGAGCCACAGAAAAACAACACAGCTGTTAGCTGT